GAAGGTTTGAGCTTGAAAGCCATCTTGAGAAGCTCGCATCAGAAGCTGCCATTTGCCGTATTGTTGAGGCAACCAACCGCTCAGCACGCTTCGGTGCTCTTCAGTCGTCAGAATTACTGATTCTTCGAAATTCTGCGGAGCTTTAGGCACCAACTCGTCCAATATCCCTTGGATCTGGTAGAACTTGGCTTCAGCTTTGAGTTCTTTCAGAAATGTTGCACCTTCTGGTAAAATCAACTCCCCACTACGAAGATAATTGAGTATAAACCGGAAGTGTGTTCCATCTCGGTCGATAAAGAAAGCGCCGTCATCAGCAGGCTTCATCTCAAACTTCCCGGAAAACATGGCAGCCAGCATCGAATTTGGATCTTTGGTCAGCGTTTGGAGACTTGTGGTGAAGCGATGACCGCCAACATTTAGCTGTATTGTTGAAGAAAAGTGAACATGTTCTAACTTCTTCGACATGGCGTCGATAGCTCTCTGCTCGTGGCGAAGTCTTGCTGCTTCTCGTTGTAACATCTCGCAAGCTTGTTTAATATGGCTCTCAGCGTCTGTTAAGACTTGATTATGTTGATGATCGTTATCTCCTAAATCTGCTTCACTCATAGTTTTGTTTCTGCCTCTGAACTATCACTTAAAATTAATGTTGTTATTTTCGTTTAGGAAGCTTTCGACCTAGAGTTGCGACATGGAGTTGCGTGTCAACAAGATGATTCGGAGAGAGACTGGTAAGGAAAACGAGTCAAGGCGAGCTGGGCGAACAGTGAAAGATATTTGCAGACTAATTTTTGATGACACTGATAGTATCTTAACTGTCACAAAAAATTTTGCGGTAAGGTAATGTCATTAAGAGTATTATATTCTTCAGAGCTCTTAAGAGCGCTTGTCTGTAAAAATCAAACATATCGCGGCAAGGGTGGAAAATTCGATTTCTTTCAAATGGATTAAGCTTTTGGTGGTTGAATTTCGAAAAGATGTTCTCAATCACTGTAAAAATTTGTTTGGGCAAGTGATTGAGAGCGATACAAAAGCTTTTCAAAGTCCGTTAAAATGCAGTTAGTTGACCTTTTGCGGTCAACATTCCAGTCGCGAGTCAC